ATCATTTTAAGTGCTCTGTAATCGATCGTCTATTCATATATTGTAAAGTTGCAAGCTTTTTAACAAGTATAACTTTATTCATACTTATTTTTTTCTCATATAATATTGTCAATTTTTCTCAAACAGTGTGAGCATTTATCTTTTGCGCTATATGTTGGAACACACTGATATCAACTCATTTTTTGATAGTAGTCAGATTTTTTTTGCTTAATTTCTTTCAGTTTCATCTTTCATATTTGCTAGTTTAGCCGAATTACTCGATACCGGCTCATACAAATCTTTGCAGTATAAATGATCTTCCATCAAAGGCTTCTAAATTGAATAATTTGATGCTATCAATTTTATTATGAAATTTGTATCACTTTTCATGATCTCAAACAGAATTTACTTTTGTCTTAGGCTACTTCTGTATCGTTATCTCAAAATAACCTTCGCTTTGATATCACTTGTTAAGCCTGAAGCAATAAACACAACAATTCAGAAGCAATATATCACAATAAACCCACAGCAATAGGCAACAATCAACAATACAAAATGAAAAAAATAAAGTATATCAAGATTTACATGAAAAATCTTCCAATATAGAAAGAAAAATCACAGACTATCAGAAAAATTTTTACTATCAAATAATAGATATACAAAATTTTTCTTTAGCTAAAATTAGAGCTAATCAACAACTAGAGAGATAATTGAAAAATTTTACCAAATAGGTAACTCAACAAATACACACTGAACTTGTTCCTAGAGAGCTTCAAACTCAATCTTCACCGTTCAAAATGTAAAACTCTAAATCATAAACCTGTTGATAAAGCTTCAGCTCAATCGAAACACGGATCGACTTCTATTCATCCAATTTTCTTTCTTTTTTTTCTCTCTATTTTTTTTGGCTTTTCTTCTTTCTCTTCTTGGCTTTTGTGACTCCACCTTAAAATAGTCTCACCTTTTTTTATTAAGTAGCTAGAGCTTTGTGTAAAAAGAAAGATCAAAGCCATAGCCTTTGATTGGTTCAAAACCAATTACATAGGGCTGAACCCCATTTTCATAACAACCTCTTGATTATAAAATCACTCAATTGAAATGTAAACTAGAAAACCTATCAAAGGCTAAGTGTTTGCCTAATGAAGCACAAGGATATTGATGAATTAATACAACACAGATGGCTTGGATACAACAAATATGGACTTTTGACTCTAAAACTCTTGATTTTTTTAAGAGAATGAAAATATGACTTGTTAGTGCTTGCTTTCTTGTTTCTTTAACCTTCTTGGTATGTTGAAATTCTCAATTTATAGAGGAATTGAGAAACTAGCCGTTAGAGAAGCTTGGGAAATGAAAACACATGATTTTTTTCTTTTGAAACTAGCCGTCGGAGCTTGTTTGGGATGAAAGGATTGATTGGTTTTGATAAGGAATCGACTGGTTCTTGAATTTCACTAAGTTTTTTATCGTTACAGTTGAGGGATCGATTGGTTTTGGTACCCGATCGATTGGGTCAGCTAGATTTTGGATGCTGAATTATTCTAGATGAATAGTGCCATTAGTTGTCGCTTGTTTTGTAGTCTACTCACTAATTTGATTATATCTTAAGTTATACGAGTTTAAATAAAAAACTGATTGAACATTTAGAAACTAGACTTAAAGGACTTTTTATTCATAGAAAGTTCATCATCTAATTCATTGTATTCAAATTATAGTGAATTTTCAAAACTATCTCTTGTACAGTTTTTAGACAATCATATAGTGTTTAGTAAAAATTCAAAATTTTTTCTTAGAAAATTTGGATTTTAATTTTGTTTGATCCATTAGAAAGTAGATTCAAAGAGCATTCCAATAGTATAAAATTTAAATATTAAAATTTTATGAATTAATACAAAAAAATAAAATAAGTTCAATATTAAAAAATTTTATTCTAGTAAAACAACTTTTATAAGTTAATCTATTTCTCAAAATCAATATTATTAAAATTGTATTGAGTTTAAAATGAATAAGTTTACTTTAAAAGTAATAATTGGACTTTTATTTAAGTTCAAATAAATAATGTTTAAAGAACATTTTGATTTGAGAAATAAAAAAAATATAAAGAAAAGTTTGTTTACACTTTAAAAAATATATTATTTATTTAGTACAAAAAATAATAAAACTTAAAAGTATGTATTAAATAAATTTTTTTCAAAATCTTAATTAAGTTTATGTAGTTTAATTTTTTGATTTTAAAATAAGGATCAATTTAAGTAAGTTCACATTATAAACCTTTACCGTAAGCAGGAGCTAGCCGTATATGTCTAACATTTTTAGATAATTTTCATGATTGTTATACATCGTTTTTTTGTTTCAGGAACTAAATTGCTCAACCAGTATAGAACATAATAAACAGATTCATTGCCTTAAATAAAATATTAACTTTTTACGTGATACGAATAGCACGTAAAATATAGATGTCATGTCTATCCTTGATTGCTCCTCCCTGTCATATAACCATCACAGCCATGTTACTCTTCGTGTCAAACAATGGAAGCTAAAAAATAAGAAAAAGTTAAGCTAATCTTTCGTCCTAAATATTTACTTATTGTAGTAATTCCATGATATACTAAGTATAAAGTTTTAAAGTACACTTTTGAGTAACATATAAACAATTAAATAAATACATTAGAGAAGCAGGTGTAGTTCTAGCTTCCCATTCGCAACATAGAATAATGACTATACAAAATTTAGGAAATATAACTTATTGGTTCAACGTTTAAATGTTTAAGTATCATCTTCAGAAGTTAAAGTCAGGTATTATTACCACTTAAGATACAACAGAGATATTCTCTCCTTTGCTTCAAATCATAATATCATTATGAAAATATCATTGTTTTTAAAACTATTACCTTTAACGGCTAAGGCAACCTGCCATTTCATCAATATTTTCAAAAATATTACTATTAATTAAAAAAAAAAACCAAAATCAAATAGAAAACTAAAATTATCACTTAGATCATTTTTCTTTTACAAATACAAAAAAGAAAAGCTAAAGTAAGATCCTAAATATTTTTCATTAAAAATGAGTAAAAAACGAATCCAAAGGTTGGATCGATCGAAAATACCCAACAAAAGTTTGGGAAACTAAATTGGGTACCTTTCTTTAATGGGTTACAATCGATCAACTCCTTAATGACTGTTGCGAATTGCTAAAACTTAAGCCTGTAGAAAAAAATCCTTTTGGTGATCGATGATACCAAAAAGTGAGAAATTATCGTGGCAACCCAAAAAAATCAAAGAAGGGTTTAAATATTTTTTTTTATTCTATCAAATTTTTTTTGTCTTACCATTAACTACTCTTTCTTTTAAGATCAAACTCTTTAACCAACTCTGTCTTTCTTCACACAATTATAATGATTAAAAAAGCAGAGGAAAGGACAAATGGTGACACGCAACACAATGATTAATGGTCAAAGTTGAGATGAAATTATTAAAATTAAAAGTATGATTTTTATTAAAAGATAAAAAATTAAAAATAAATATAAATATAGTAATTTGTATCTTTTTAAATTAATTTAATTTTATATAAATTAAAAAATATGATTTGATTATATTTTGACAAATTTAAATATGATACAATGAAATTATATTAAAACGATACGAAAAAAACGTATATGAGTTTTAGAAATATATTTTTTATATTTAGTATGTCAATAAGTGTAAGACACAAAAAATATATTTAATTAAACTGTGTTATATGATTACATATAATAAACATAGGAAACATATTTGTCACATTTGATACGGTTAATAGTTTTTTATATTTATTTTAATTTAATATAAATATATAAAAATTATTTTAATGTTTTAATTATAATACACAATTACATATTTAATATAATTATGTAAAAATTATTTTAAATATTTATTTATAATGCACATTTAATATGCAATTATTTTTAATTTTAATAATATAGTTACAATATAAATAATGACTTTAGTATAATTGTACCTCATTATTCAATAGCTTATTATTTTGAATTTTATTAATTGTAACTCAGTAGATAATTTACTTTAAGTTACATGATTAAAAATTCATAATATAATTATAATATAAACATGATATATATACAAAAATCAATGGCTTGTTTATATATTTTAATTTATTTTAATTCCATATGATAGTTGATACTTATGTATAATTATAAAAGATTATATAATTTATTCTAAATGATATATTGATATATATACCTATGAAAATTAAAAATATATAATTTATTTTAAATCATATTATAAATTATAAAAAAAATTATAAATAACATAACATATATAAAAATTATATTATTTTGATATTACAAATATATATTAATTTAATATTTTCAATAACTTTTATAAGTTATCATTTATATTATATTTATTATATTTATTTGTATTATTTTTATTAAATTAATGTTTTAAAATAAAATTATACTTAATTTAATGTCGAATTATTTTGAATTAATTTTTGTATCATTTTGGATTTGGATCATTTCAGTTCGAGTTATTTCAGCTTCAGATTATTTTGATTCAAATTAGACGGGTTCAGGTTATTATTTTTTATAGTCAAATTGAGTTGAGTCGAATTCAAGTGAGTTGAATGAATTTTTTGAGTTCAAATCAGAATTGACAAATCTATGAGAACAAATATACTCATGTAAAAATAACAAATTTATATTTAATACATCTATGCGTGTAAGAATTCACTATTTCTTTAATTATTTCACATTAAATATAAAATGCGCACTTGAGAAATTAAACCACAAATTTGAAAATTGGACTTTGAATGATATTCAGGAAACCAAAAATCACCATATAAAGGAGATCAAATGTGAGTCAAGTTAATGACAAAATTGAAACCTCCATCAAGCCCCAAAACTGTAGTATGTAGAAAAAATAAACAAGAAGAAATCAGGATTTAACATGCTATCATATATATATACATATATATATATCGTGTGATTTTATTGATGGTAATTCTGTTTCTTAATTATAATTTGAAGGATCAACAATGCGCGGGCTCTCATATAGGAGGAAATGATGACGAGGTATGATAATTGTATATAATTGTGTTGAATGCATTTGTTTTGAGAAATTTGAAAAGATTATCATTACTTTTGAGAGTATCTTTTAGATATTTCTACTTGAATATTATCTTTACATGTTTATTAATGTTATCACATACATGTTTTTTTTACTTAATTATAATATTTTTCTTATAACTCCAGACTTATGAGATGTATATCCCAAAATTATTTATTTCAGCTGGATGTAATGAATGGTTTGGCACTTAATGAATTAGACAATCCGTTGTCTAACGAAGTGAAAAATCCAAAGAATTCTCAGACCATCCAGAAAAGCACCATGAGTGAATTTCTAAAGAAAATTGATGATGATGTTGCAAGCAGCAATGATTTCTCCGACTTTATGGTATGCTTTGATGGGGAGCACAAAAAAATTGGAAGATACAGTTTCCCACTGTCTTTAGTTTCTACTGTGGAAAGAATCACCAATGTCTATGGTGATGTTTCTGCTCCGTGTTTAAAGAACTCAAGTGTTACCGAGAAAATCTATCTATTTTTCTGTGCTACAATTAAAGAGATGGAGGATCTAAAGCTTCATCAAGTTACAGAGAAAAAACTGTTGAAATGGAGGGATGCTATTAAGGATGCTCTTCGCATCAATTTCAAAGTCGCTTTTGCTATGCACCATTTGAAGAGAATTGCTCGTGCTTATTTTGGCTGCATAGGAAGCCAAGAGCTTCAGAGCATAGGTGACAAATTGGATGCCTTGAACAAGGAGCGTGCGGAGACGTACCAGGATTTCAAAGACTATATTGCTTATGCAAAAGACTTCTATGGCAAGTCTGTCAGCGATGGTTTATTCGCGTGATCCTTCCAGTGCTCAAGCACCAAGAACTTTCTACATTTCTAGCTATTTTAGGTGTTGGTTCTTTAATTTTGGGCCCTTTTTTTTTTCCCCTCTTTATCTGGTTTATGAAGTTGTTCATGGACTAATTTCTCACAAGTTTCTGATGTTAAGGAGTTTTCTAGGTTACGGTCGTTACCTGAACAACAGTACGGTTTACTCACCTTGCCGTACTGTGTTTTATGTGCCGAGCGTAACATGTTTAACTCTTTTAACATTTGATTAGTTTGGATACGTGGTGTGAGAGACGACTCTCATCTGATTGTTGGTGTCGCTATAGGAGTTCATTCAAGATGGCACGTACAATAGACTCTCACCACGCATCCAACAAAGTGGCCTATTGTCAGAGGTTAAATTGAAACCTATTTTTGAACCCTAACTTAAAAACTAAAGTTTTTTAGGTTAAGGGATCAAGAATACGTTTTGATCTGATCTCCAACAGCTACATTCATCTTTGTGTAAAAGTACAATGGTTTGCTTGTATTGCATGTTTGGGTATTTGCTATTCCAACTTGACCTCTGTCGTATGTAATAACAATGGCCTTTGAGTTTGCAGACAAAGTATGAATTTGATCTTCTATATTAATTATTAAATCGAAGATTTTCATGCATGTTATGCCAATTACATTTTTATCCTTCGTTGGAGATAATCTTTTATCATTCTATACTATTCTGTCATCCATTTGCTGGATTGAGCTCCTTTTCTATTTTTTGGGTCAATTATTTTTTAATATTTTCATTATCACCATTTATATGTGTACGTTAGACTCAAATTGAAATTATGAAAGTCATACCAACGATGATTTAAGATATATTGAAAGGTAATTAACAAAATATAATGAAGTCATCGGAAGGGAGAGGATAATTGAAGGCAAAATAGAATGAACGAAATGGAGCAAATAAATATGTAAAAACTTATTTTCTACCATGGTCTTGACGATTTTTATATGTTTTGATGGAATAAAGCTTGCTTTGCTTATATCATGCAAAATTTTAGATTTTGAATTCAACCTAAAACTCATGATCAGCTCCTAAGGTTTTATCCACCTGGACCATTTGTTGAAGGATGTTGGGTTTCAATTTTTGGCTTGGTGGACACGTTATTTTGGGTTTCAATGTGAAGGTTTTGTTTAGATACAATTTTCTTACTTTTTTATTTTGATTTTTATTAGCACGTTTTATATTATGTCAATAATATTTTTAAAAAATACCAAAAAAATGATTGATTTTCTCGATTAAGAGGTCTTGGGTTCGAATTTTGTCGATAGTCATTTGTTGAGGTCATCTCGAATATATGATCTGCAGTCACATGTCTTAGGCTGTTAGGTATGGCATATTTTGTCCTGATCTGAAAATTGAGCAATCTATCTACCTATTAATTTTTTTTACCAAAAAAATATTTTAAAAAAATGTAATTAAAATAAATAATAATGCTTATGAAAATAAATATTTAAATTTTTTTTTATTATTGGTATTTATTTTTATTTCTGGGCAAACTTTTATTGTAGAATCTGAAAAAAATTAAATGACTTTTTGATGATGAGACTCCAAAAAATTTGGATAATGATTTTTTAAAATTCCTTAAGTGAGAAAAGTTTTTTACAAAAATTACCAAAAAATTAGAATATTTAGAATAATTTTCAATATAAAAAATTCTTATTTATTTTTCACTTATAAAAGTGAAATTTTATATAATGTAATAGTATCACAAATTAATCCATGTACATCATATTAAAATATATATAATAAATAAAATCTCCGAAAATAAGATCCTAAAGAAATCTAAATAATGATTTTTAAATAACATTTAGGTAATAAAATTTATCTAAAATGTCGTCAATATATTGAAGCATTTATAATAATTTTCAATAAAAATTTCTCTTTTTTAATAAATAGAATAAGAAATGAAAAATTTTAATATTATTGGATTAAATTATAGTTATCGTATTTTATTACATATATAAATCTTGAAGATAAATATGAACAATCAAGATGAGATATTTGAAAAATTCGATTAATGATTTTTAAAATTTTCTATGTGAGAAATTTTTTTTAAATGTTACTAATGTATTGGGTCATTTTAAGATTTTTTTTTTCAATAACAAAGTTTTAATATTTTTCTCGAATAAACTAGAATAATAAAAAATTATTAAAATTATTACAATAAAAAAATTAAAAAAATTAATTTTAAATACTAAAATTAAAATTTTTTAGTCAAAATTAAAGAATAAAACATAATTAATTAATATCGTTTTAGATTGACGCTGTGAGAATGTTAATCATTCCATATGCATAATCGATTCTTGAACCTAAACTATTTTTATATACCTAAAAAATTAATTTTTTATAAGTTTTAATTAATTTTAAATTTTTATTAAAATATTAAATTTTAATAAAAAATTAATTATACCTAATTAAAAAAAATTATAAATTTTTTTTATTTTTAAATTTATTTAACGATCTCTAAAAATGTTTACGATATCTTATTTTATCTGTTATAAAAATAGTTTTTATCTCACTCTATGAATGTTTTCCTTACATTTAGCAGTAAAAGTCAGTCCTAAAAGTATTTAAGATAAAAGTGAAATTGTAGGAGTTTTCAAATTCAGATTATGGTCACATAAGAATAGCAAATTTTACACAATTACGAGTGAATGATACCAATATAGCGAATTTTAACATTTATAGTTTTAGACTTAATTTTCCCTAAAGCAAGCAAAAATAAGTTCAAAGAAGAATCAATTTATCCATCTCCACAAAATCATAGTACTAACAGCAAACATAATACTCTTTTTAAAAAAAAAAAAAAAAAAAAGGCTTTGCAATGAAGTATCCTTAGGGAACAATATGAAGAAGGGTTAAAGATTCCAGCACATTCGGCAACGCGGAACGGAGGTTAAAAACGTTCGATCACTTGAGGCTATCGTGCGATTGAAATGTAATAATCACCGCACACTGTTAAACAAAAAGGATTGCGCTTTTTTCTCGCCATCTATGATCTAACGGTTCCAATAATCTTCGTGGGGCCTAATCGGATGGTTCACGTTCAACAGCAAGTCTTTTCTGAGTCTTGACTTTTTTGTCGTTGGAAGTCTTTTGATTCCTTTAAGATTTTACTTAATTTGCAAGTTGTTACTGATCAGAAGAGTAAAGGGTAGTGGAGCTTGATTTTAGGATTCTGAAGCAGGTAAGTGTTTGATTTTCCTTGTTCTTGTTAAATCAGCTTCTCAGGTAAGTGTTTGATTTTCCTTGTTCGTGTTAAATTAGCTTCTTTTATAGAAATGAACCAAAGTTGAATCAGTTTCTTCTCTTTTCCTTTTTTTTTTCTTCTATTCTATGGAGATTAGCTATACCCATTCTCTGTTGATTTCATCTCTTTTTCTGCATTTCCCTGCTTTTATGGGTAGAGTTGACTTAAAGTTGACCTTTAGTTGACTCACTTATCGGTTAATCATCCATGATCTTTCTCTTTTTTATTCTGCAAACAGATTAAGGGGATTATTTATTATGATATTTTTTTGTAAAATCAATCAATTGTCTAAATTAAATATTTTAATTTAATTCTATAGCAATAACCAAAGTAATTGGAACAATTTGGCTCAGGGATGCATCCACAACTAGCTCAATCAGAAGCTTCAAACCAACAACACCGAAGATTTTTTCAAAGGAGAAAAAATAAGAGAAAAAATAATGCACTGTATTGGCAAAAAAAGAAGGTAAAGAAAATATGATATCATTTTTTTTTCCTTTTAGCATATAATTATAACTATAAATCAATAAAATATGATATCATTTTTTTTTTCTTTTAGCATATAATTATAACTATAAATCAATAAAATATGATATCATTTCCATTAATGTGATTTGATGCTTCCCTCTTCTGCTTTTAGTTTAGCTTTCTATTGTGCAAATATTATACTGAATGTTGAAAACAAATGCTTGTAGAAGGAGTATGCAAGGGTAGCTGCGGAAAATAGACACTTGAAAGGCATAATTGAGGGGATGATTTCCCAGTACTTGAAAGCTCAAGGCAAAAATTTTCAGAAACATGAAAATTATGTTTCCCACTTAGCCGGCCAGAATGATCATCGAAGCTTTTATGCCCAGGTAATTAATCTTAGCTTATTGGTAGGGACTGATTAAAATCTTATGTCTCTCTTTGATTCTGTTTTGTCTATAGCCTCAAATCAATAATCATTTAAAACTAATAACAAATGCACATAAAGATTTCTTGAATTTTTCCATGTTCGAGAATACAAACTCGGGAGAGCGGTAAATTCCACTTAATGATCCCTAACTTTTTTTTTTTCTGGATTTTAGATTAATTGCAAAAAACCTTCCCAAACCTTTCTAAACAAATGAAAATGTTTCTAATCTAATCTCAAAGCTAGTTGAATCAAACATGAAGTAGATGAAACCATTATTTTAAGAAAATAAGCATTATAATATAATAATCTCAAGACATATTTGAAAAAGTATGATCATTCATGAGCAAAAAGTTATATATAGCTTCCTTAAAAGCTCCAAAATTTTGTTGGATGCACCAAAGTCTGCAAAGTTGATGCATCCTATTTTATCCACAATACTATTTGCTCTTTGAATATAAATTAAACACAACATCAATCACATACAAAACACAAACATAACAGTGTTTTATGAGAAAAAAAATGAAGTACTTTGATGTCCTTAAGCAAAATTCTATTATTGTCAAAATATTCAAGTTTCAATAACGTCTCAGCTGTCAAATAACATCAATTAGAAGAAAATATTATGCAAAAAGGTTTCAGATTAGTTCTCCTAATGTGGAAATATTTCAGTAACATAAATCAAGAGCTACTTTATTCCAATGAAATATAAAAAATACAAAAGAATTCTTGTAGTTAAAAAAAGAAATAAAGAGAAGATGAAATAAACGTAAAATAAATATTGAAGCACATATTCACTCATTGTATGTTATTGATAACATGTGTATAATAGTTGATATATTAATATTGAGGAAGAATCAACTTACATAGTATAAAACTAAAAATTTTATACTTTTTTTTAATTATTTATTTTAATGTATCTAAGGAATGAGATTAAACTAATTTTTTTTTTTAATTTTTTACATATCTCTTTCATCTTTTTGATCTATTGAGATCAATTATTAAAAAAATGTGTAAAACCTTTTTAGTTTTACATTATATGAATTGATCCTTTTTTATTAATATTATATTACTATATTATTATATTTTTTAAAATGTGTTATGATAAATTCAATATATCAAGAAAACCAATATAAAAGGCATTGATCTTTCCATCAAATCAAATAAAAAATAAAAGTTTGATCTAAACCATTGAATTATTAATCTTGTTGGGCTAAAAGCTTCCAATTCAATCACACTAGCGGAAGCGAAATTAAACAATAAATCAAACACACAAGAGACAATAATTTAACGTGATTCGGTTCAACTGACCTATATTCATGGATGAGAAACAAGATCTACTAGTTGTAGAGAATTACAAACATACATTAAATTAACCTCACTTAACAATCAATACTCATAAGATGCTCTCAATCTCCTCTAGTCTTATGGAGTATTTTAAACCCAAAAAAATATAAATTCAAACCCTTGTGCATCATTTCAACATAACCAAACACATACCCATATGCTCTCATACATCATACCTACGTGGATCCTCTCAGTCTCTTTTAGTCCACTCACAAACAAACATACACACTCATAAGACGTAGAACCCCAATACTTTTATGGGGTGTCTATCTCACAAAATTCTACAACTTTCTTACATCTTTTTCTTATACCTAACCCTGTAGAGACTTCACATATTTATAACCATACAAATTTATCCATTAAGAACCCTCTCTTCTTAGAATTCTTTTTTTGTAAGTTAAACTTGCCTATTAAGAATCTCTCTCCTTTTATAATTTTTCTCTTGCAAGTCAAACTTACCTATTAAGAATCTTCTTTCTCTTAGAATTCTTCTTTTGCAAGTCTTCTTATCCATCAAGCAATATCTAACAAATCTCAAACAAATCTCTTATGAGATTTGAGTTAATATTTCAAACAATCTTTATCTTGACGCAAATTTCATCAATCATCTGTCTTCATGCTAGACATGCTTATCTTCGCCTGCAATATAAGTCTCACAATCATCTTCTCTTCTCTTGTGTCTTCACGCTTCATACAAACTAATCATCAATCTTCAAAACTTAAACTCGAACTCTTCTCTTGAATCGAGCTCTTCTGGACTTGTTTCTTTTCATGTCTCAAATCATGCACTTTTCAAACTTTTAGCTCTTTTCACATCTCGAACTTTTAGCTCTTTCATGTCTCGAACCTTTGGCTCTTTTCACATCTTGAATTTTTAACCTTCTTACATTTCGAATTTTCAGCTCTGATACCACTTGTTGGGGAACACCACAACTCTGATATCATTTGTTGGGCTAAAAGCTTTCAATCCAATCACACTAGTGGAAGCGAAATCAAACACACAAGAGGTAACAATTTAACGTGGTTCAGTCCAACTGACCTACATCCACGGATGAGAAAAGATCCACTAGTTGTAGAGAATTACAAACATACATCAAATCATCAACCTCACTCAACAATCAATACTCATAAGACACTCTCAATCTCTTCTAGTCCTATGAAGTATTTTAAACTCAAACAAACACAAATCCAAACCCTTGTGTACCTTTTTAACATAACCAAACACATACTCATATGCTCTCATACATTATACTTATGTGGACCCTTTCAGTCTCTTCTAGTCCACTCACAAACAAATATACACACCCATAAGACGTAAAGTCTCAATACTCATATGGGGTATCTATCTCACAAAGTCTTACAACTCTCTTACATCTTTTTTTCATATCTAATTTTGTAGAGACTTCACATATTTATAATCATACAAACTTACCCATTAAGAATCCCTCTCCTCTTAGAATTCTTCTCTTGTAAGTTAAACTTGTCTATTAAGAATCTCTCTCTTTTTAGAATTCTTCTCTTGCAAGTCAAACTTACTTATTAAGAATCTTTTTTCTCTTAAAATTCTTTTTTTGCAAGTCTTCTTGTCTATCAAGCAATATCTGACAAATCTCAAATAAATCTCTTATGAGATTTGAGTCATTATTCCTAACAAATCTATCACCTGCTAATAATTAATTAGGCAACCTTTCAATTCCTTTTATAATTTTTTTTTCACTTATATTCTCCAAAAGTGTTTTTTTCAAGAATCCTTTAATAAAGACTTAGTAGATGATACATGCCAAGTTCAAAGTCTAATGAAAAATCTACAATTTAAAATTGACAAAGTACTACTTTTAAATAAGATAAAATAACAATTGATATAGCATCTAACATAAATCATGATGTAAGCAATGGTAGCACTTAAAAACATCCGGTCGATGATCACATTCAACATTTTGTGACATGATGAACTCTTTCATTCTCATTTTTCATTCATAATATTTAAAACTTTCAATCGTGAGAGCTTTGAGAACTGTCTTATCATCTTGGATCTTAAATTAAACCATATAATCTTTACTTAAAGTGGTTAAATCTATAAAAAGAGACCAAAGTTTTAACGCTAATTATTAACTTTTTAGGTGAGATGTTGATCCAAGATGGAAGAATTTGATTTCTCTAAATATTTCCCAAATAACGATTTCAAAATTATTGAATGAAAAATTAAAACAATAAGCTCATTAATGAAAATTATGTGGCAAACAACAACAATTAATAAGCCTAGAAACAAATATAAACAATAATAATCAGAAATAGGTTTGGGATAGAAAGATCAAACACAAAGATTTATAGAGGTTCAGGCTTTCTCCTTAAGGCACCTACATCTTTTCTCTTAGTTGTCCTCGTCAAGGCTTCAATATACTAATTGAAGAAAGATTACAACTCTATCTTTTTTTTAGGCTTAGATAGCAACTTGACACTCTACTTTTTAGACTAAATAGTAACCTTTCAATCTCACAACTACAAGAAAATACCTTAACTCTATTGGGCTTGAAGCAATAAAAATAATAATGCTAAAGAATATATCATAATAAACCTATAACAATAGACAACAATCAATAATCAAAAACGTAAAAAAAAAAATAAAGCACACGAATATTTACATGAAAAATCCTTCAGTGTAGAAAGAAAAATCACGGATCACTAAAAAAATTTTTACTATCAAACAATGGATATACAAAGTTCTTCTCGAGTTAAAACTAGAGTTAATCAACAACTACAGAGCTAATTGAAGAAATCTCACCAAATAGGTGACTCAACAAATATACATTGAATTTATTTCTAGAGAGTTTTAAACTCGATCTTCACCATTCAGAATGTAGAACTCTGAATCATAAACATGATGACAGTTTTAGCTCAATTAGATTACGAATCGACTTCCATTCAACTAACTCTCTTTTCTTATTTTTTTTCTCTATTTTTTCTAGCTTTTCTTTTTTTTCTTCTTGGTTTTTGCAACTCCACCTCAAAATAGTCCCACCTCTTTTTATTAAGTAGCTAGGGCTCTGTGTAGAAAGAAAGACAAAGCCCTATGGCCTTTAATTGGTTCAAAATCAATTATATGGGGCTAGAGCCTATTTTTCTAACAATGTCTCCCTCTAGCATCATTAGGAGGAGATTCATCACTATAGCAGTTTCATTGAAAACTTACTTTGGCCAAAGAACTCATTCTGGTCAAGTTACTGTAAAGCTCAAGCTTTTTCTTGAAAAATATCTTAGTTAACATATCTGCTGCATTTTTATCTGTATGGACTTTCTTCAATAGCATATGTTGCTCCTCAATCACTGAATGTAACTAGTGATATCTAACATCAATGTGCTTTATCCTAGCATGGTATATGATATTTTTGCTCAAATCTAAAGCACTATGGCTATCATAAAATATCATATACTCTTTCTGATTCAACTCCAATTCAAGAAGAAAATATTTCATCCAAAGCATTTCTTTACCTACTTCGATTGCTACAATATATTCAGCCTTTGTAGTTGACAAAGCAACATACTTCTACAACTTAGAGTGTCAAGATATAGCTCCTCTTGTAAAAGTGAACAAATACCCTAACGTAGATTTTTTAT